GTCCTGCCTCCAGGTTCCTGCCTTGAGCTCCTGGCCTGGTTTCCCTTGATGATGGACAGCACTGTAAGCTGAAGTAAATCCTTTCCTTTCCCAGTTGATTCTGGCCCATGTTTTATCACAGCAATAGACTGCAAATGAGGACATCAACTGTGCACTTTGGGTGACACTGTTGAGTTGAGGCAATGCAGGGCCACTGTCTGTAGGTAATACCCCACATTGATAAAGGATAGTGCTGGTGGTAGAGCTGGAGCAGGGTGAGGGGTGGGAACTCTTTCCTCTTTGATTCAATTTTACTGTGAATGTAAATCTTCCCTTAAAAGAAAGTCTATTTCTTAAAAAATAGAAACTACTAATACTATTTGAAGTACAACGTTTCTTAGGACACAGTTATTTAAGCATAATTTCACAGAGGAAAGATGAAAATGAGATTGTTTCTGAAAGCTACTGTGTTTTATCTATTGGCTTCTGTGAGACTTTCTACATCTCAAAAACTCACTGATTCAATAAAATTATTATCTAACACATCATCTGTTCTCAATGAATTTTTTTTTAAAGGCCAGTGAAAGATATGAGATTGACAGAGAACTTCCAGAGCTCTGCCTGTAATCCTCAGTCCCCTCTCACATACCTGAGCCAAATGGGCCTTGCTCTGACAAATGTAGATTTTGAGTGGTCTAGCAAGGGACTTCTGAAAGAACAGATTCAACTGCTAATCATGACTCAGGAATTCCAGAAGGACCCCTGTCTTTTAGAAACTTATTTCTGTATTTAAACTTGGAAGCACTCACCCACAGTACCTGAAAACCATTGTGCTTAAAAGATGATGGCATGCAAGCAAAATGTTAAGAGGTTTAACACAATTCTTTCATAAAGAAGCACCAAATATTTATTTTTATCTCAGTACAGTTTCCCAATGTGGTGTCAAGAGAAAACTTTATAAAAACTGTTTCCCTCAACTCCTGATTTATTTTTAAAAATGAGAACTAAAATTACTTTGAGACTTCATTTCACCCCACTCAGAATGGCAATCATCAAGAAAACAAATAACAAAAACATGGTGGAAAGGTTGTGAGAAAAGGGGACTCTATTCATTGATGGCAGGAGCATAAACTGGTACATATCCATTAATGGAAGTCAATATTGAAGTTTTCAAACAACTAAAATTAGAAGTACCATGTGACCCACTATCCCACTCTTAGGCATACATCCCAAGGAGTACAAGTTAATGCACCACAGAGATATTTGCATATCCATGTTTATGGCTGTGCTATTCACAATAGCTAAAACCATGGAATCAGCTGAGATGTCCAACAACAGATGAATGGATCAAGAAAAAGTGGTTTTCTGTACACAATAGCATTTTATTCAGCTATTAAGAAAAATAAAATCATGATACCTTGGAAGATGGATGGAACTGGAAACAAATTTAAGCAAAATTGACTCAAAAAGACAATGCATGTTTTCTCTCATATCATCTAGGACTCACATATGAAAGAAAACATACTTTGTATGTGTGTGTCCATGTGTCCATGTGTCCGTGTGTGTGTGTGTGTGCGTGTGTGTGTCTTGCTACATATATTTGGGGTAGGTCAGGAAACTAGAAAAGGAACCATAGAGAGGAAAAGAGATCTCAAATAGGGTGAGGAGAAAAGAGGGTAATAGAATACAAGTGTGACATGAAATCAGAAGGAGGGTTGTTGGGGAAAGGAAAGGGACCAGCAGGAGGGGGCGGGGCAGGAAAGGAGGGGAGGGGAACCATAAAATGGCAACAATGTATGAGAATGTCATACTGTGTAGCCTGTTAATTCCATGTTAATTTGAGAAAACTAATTAAACAAAAATCTATTTTCCTTTTTTGTATCTAAAAAGGGTATGGCTCTTTAAAATGTTAAAAATCTAACATATCCCAAATATATTTGGTGCCATAACTATTATTGCTGCTATTGTATTTTGTAATGCTTATTAGTAATGAAAGAAATGATTCTTGAAAAATCATTCTTTGGAAATTGTCAGTATATTTGGCTAATAATAATCATGGTTCATTAAAATAAACTTTAAATCATGTTTGCTCTAAGATAATTTACCCACAGTTGTCTACAAGAGTGAGAACTTATCAATAAATAAACATAAGTAATGTTGAAATTTTTAATAGGAAAATGAGTATGACTTGAACCACAGGAAGTAAACAAACACGTCTTTATGTCACCAGTCTGAACCCTATCAGTTCTGTTTGGGTCACTTCCAAAGTGGCCAGCTCACCTCACTAGTTCTCATCCTTAGTGAATCATGTTATCTTTTAAACATCAAATGAAACTGGTGCATGAAATATGCATTCATAATCATAAGTGAATTCTTTAATATTATAAATGTTTATTTAAAATATTCTGTATCATGCTGGAGAGATGACTCAGGAGTTAAGAGTACTGGTTGTTCTTGCAGAGGACCCAGGCTCAATTCTCCGCACCCATATGGCAACTAACAACCATCCCAATTCTAGTCCTAGTGGATCCAACGCCCTCTTCTGACCTCTGTGGGTACTGCACGACATGGGTGCACATACATACACCCAAGCAGTACATTCATTCAAATAATAAATTTTTTTTAAATAAAATATTATGTATCATAATGTTAAAACCAAGACTGGGGCAAACCGTCAGAGAGTGCTAAGTTCTGGCCTCCTTCAGGCCTCCCCCAGGCAGAGGGCCTGAGAACACAGGGGACTGCCTGAGAGTCCCCGGACCCTGCCTCCATGTGGTGAAGCCTTTGAGAGGGAACTGACACTGATTCTAATCACTCCAACAGCTCTCTAGTGGGATGGTTTTGGAAGCTCTCATCAAGAAATTCCAATGGTCTCTCATATGAACATTTGAAAATTGCCCTGTTCTGATTTTTTTCGAGTTCCCTGTGTGGAACTAGTAATGCTAATTACTCTTGCCTTTACTTCTCCTTCACATCTCCTAGTCACCAGTCAAGGACTTTCTTTTCCCCCTACAGATAAGAGTTATGCAATTTGGGAGTCTTTTAGATAGACACACTGAAGGGGCACCCTAGTTATCACTCTGCGTCCCTGTCCAGCATGGAAGAAGACAGAGTGGTCTGTGTGCCCATTCCCTACTGGCAATTTGGGTAAACTCTTCAGAGGATGGTGTGATAAGAATAGGAGGTGGGGGGGACTGGAGAGATGGCTCAGGGGTTAAGAGTACTGACTGCTCTTGCAGAGGACCCAGGTTTGATTCCCAAAATCATCCTTAACTCCAGTTCCAGGGGAATCTGAAGCCCTCTTCTGGCCTCCGTGGGATTGCACAACATGGGTGCACTCACATGCATGCAGGCAACACACTCATACACATAAAATGAAAATAATAAAATATTTAAAAAGAAAAAAGAATAAGAGGTAGGAATTGGCCAGGCAGTTAGGGTAAAAAGACCCCAAAGAAAAGTAGCCAGTTTCTTGACTAAAATCAAAATGTCCTTGGGCCTCTTGGCAACATACTCTGTTCCAAAGGCCAAAAATGTCAAAAGTATTTGGGAGCTTGTATCTAATCCTTAAAAGATTTTAGGGTTACCTCCTCGGCAAGGGGGGGGGAATGTTAGAGTAGCCAAAAGTCCCATAAAGATAAATAAATCAATCAAAGAAGAAGAAAGAGTACATGAAGTTATCAGAAAAAAGTTATGGGGAGATATGGGAGGAGTTGGAAGGGAGGGAATGGGCACGGATTTGATCAGAACACCTTATATGAATGTATGAAATTCTCAATAAATTATTTATTTAAATAAAAAAAACAAGACTGGAAAATTAATATTCTCCTCCCTTTTTATAAAAATCAACTCTACCCAATACATCAGAAATCACTCAGTAAAGGCTTCCATCTTTTCAGAGGTAAATTCAAAGAGCACAAAGTTAATCAGACAACTTTCGAAAATGCCATACTCAGTAAGATCTTATATTACTTTAACACTTATACTCTGATAAGTGATTTGTCTCCAAATGCCTTAATTTTTGTAGACTTTGTCTCACTTAAAGCTAGATTATAATTTAGCTTTCTCCAGAAACAGTGCCAAATTTGAATGATCATCAACTAACCAGTAGAAATGTTGGATTTATCCAAATTCTGACTTTATCTTGAGTTCTTTCCTCTGATGCTTTGCTTTTAATGATCAATATGCTTATGTATTATGCAATGTCTGTCTTGCAAATAAAAAAATTTATTTTCAGGGTTGTTTTAATTTTACTGTGTCCTCTTCTTAAGAATTAATATATAATCATGATTTGACACATTAATTATATTCCAAATATTAAATAACATTAAAATCATATGTTCCTTAATGCCATATTTGTGTCACATGTAGAATATTCTGCACACACTTTGAAAAACTGTAGCATGAACATTCCTTGGCACGGAACTGATGGGTGAAAGTCCAGGCAGGACAAGTGAAGACAGCTTCTCTTAGGTCTCCTTCTTACCAGGTAGGTGTAAAATAATCAAACAAAAAGTGTTCACCTTAGCCAGCTTCCTGGGGGGGGAGACCCTTAAAATATTGTGATTACATGACTTTATATTCAAGGACTATACAAAGCATAAAGGTTATACAACTCTAATACTGAATTCCCATATGATACAGTAAATACACACACTTAAACATTTATCAGAACACAGGGTTTTCAGGAAGAAACCATCATTCCCCCAAACCAAAGCCTGATGCCACTGCTGCTGCTTGAGACGTGTGATATGCACCCGCTTCTGTGTGTGCAATCTCCTTTCTGTCTTCCTAATCAAGTGACCTGCTCTCATTTGGTTGGGTTTCAACCACAAGACATCACTGTGCACTTTTTTTTTCTTCAAGATACACGTCACAACACACAAGAAAGGAGGAACTTCCAGTGTCTGTGGTAACATCACTTGATAAACAGACTCCTTGAACGGCAAGTGCCTGCCTGTCTGCATTCGCTATATAAACAGCAGAGACCTGAACTAACAGACACTCATTGTGAAAGAACTATGAGAGCAGCCATCTCCACGCCAAGACTAGACAAAATGCCAGGGATGTTCTTCTCTGCTAACCCAAAGGACTTGAAAGAAACTGGCCATTCACCTCTAGATGACAAAACGCAAAAAAGGAGGCCAAAAACTTTGTAAGTTCATCGTCTCGCTTAGATTGTCTTTTATGGCAGACGAATTATAAATACGTAGAAGATAATACAAGCATTTAGTTAGTAGATACAGATCAGAGCAATTCTTGTGAGTTATAAGTAAGATCTAGTTGTATTAAAGAGTAAATCATGTTACAGCAAAGTGGGTAGGAATCTTTCCAGATTTTGACTTATAAAAAAATGAACTTGATTTTACTATACCAAAATATTGAATCGGGTATTTTTTTATTACTGCCTTTTCTTTCTATAAATAAAAGTGAACTGTCCTAGAAAATAGGAATGTTTTTGTCTTTTGTAGTGGAATGGATGTGAAGACATACTTGAGATCTATGATCCCACATCTGGAATCTGGAATGAAGTCTTCCAAGTCCAAAGACATGTATGTACATGAATACATTGAACTATTACAATTCATAGAAGCCATCTGGGCATTAGCGCTCATCCTTATAAGAGATTGATACTGCATGCATTTGGGTATAGTGTCTCACCTATATGATCCCAGAACTTGGGAGGCTGAGGCAGGAGGATTGCCACTTGTTTAAGGCCAGCTTAGGCTAAAGAGCAAAACCTTATTTTAAAAAAATCAAACAAAAAGATGCTGCTTTCAATGGATTTCATTTCTTAAAAGAAATGTCATGTTAACATGACAAGATTAGGCCGCATTAGGAACAATAGCTATTAAATATAAATGTGGGTATCTCTTTGCTATTATTTTGCACTGTAAGATTTTATCTATTTGTATTTTTTAACAATCTTGGGAAATTTTTTTCATAGCTATGACAATTAAAAGGGATTTATAAATAAATTCAAGAGTAGAATTTATAGAAACTATAACCTTGTTTATCAAAATACAGCTGCCATTCTTAGGTCTTTTGGGTTTACATAACATATTTTATTAATTTATGCAAACATTTTTCCCTGTAGACTTTCTGCTGAAGAAGTAATACAGTGGTCTCAGTCCCTGGAAAAACTTCTTGCCAACCAGAGTAAGTATTAATGAACTACTATTGAGTTTCTGAATTCAGTTCAATACTTTAATAGACTGAATGTGTGATTAATATATATCAAGGAAAGGAAGGATAGCATTCAAAAAATTATGTACTGATCATTGATAATTTCATCGTAGCTTACCTTTCTATAATTTAGCTCTCATTTTACTGCTGTTCTTTAGACAAATATGCCAAGGCAACTAGGTGTTTTCACGGATTAAGGAACAAAACCAAGTTATATGTGGGAAGGGTTGGAGAGATGGCACAGAGGTTAAAAGCACCTGATGCTCTTTCAGAGGACCTGAGTTTTGTTTCCAGCATCCAAGCTAGTTGGCTTGCAACTGTCTGAAACGTCAGTTCTAGGAGATTTGGTGCCCTCTTATGGCCTCTGTGGGCAATTGCATACATGTGCTGTATCCACAGAGAACATACACATGCACATAAAGAAATAAAATTAATCTTTAAAAATAAAAATAAAGATAAATAAAATTATGACGGGGTTCCACAATGGAAAGTATTTAAAAGCAAACCAAATATCCCAACATATGAATTGCTATTTTGAAAGCTTCCTTAAAGCATGTACTTTGAACAGTTGGATATAAACAGTGGAATTCATTCATGTAATAGATACCATTCATGTATCTACTAACTCTATTTTATCCACCTTATGTGGCAAGCATTTTAGAGGCACCAAGATTTCAAATACAAAGACACAATTCATTACTGCCTTAAAGATGTTTGTGCACACCAAGTAAATACTATAATATGTATATGATACATATTGTAATATATATAAGCCCATTAGAGTTTTGTGAGATTTCCTGATGAAGGAGAGGAGAGAACGAAATCAGCTCCTTGTCATGGGAATCGCATCACAATTGGAGTTAGACCCTTGTTTCAGAGATATAGATAAGCAGCTTGATCTCAAAGGTGTATTTATCATCTTCTCCCCAGAAAGATACTAAGGAAGTTTACTTAGAGACATAGTTTGATTATCAAACTTAGTTTATAATTTAGCTAAACAAATAAATGTCATATAAGTCTCAACAACATTAGCGAATACAATCAGTGTATCAGGTATGCGGGTGATATATAGGCCTAACACTATCTGATTACCATGAATTGGATGAGGAAATCACATTTGTAGTTATTAACATTAGGTTAATATCCTCAGTCATTAATATTTCTTTTCACAAATTGTGCACTTGCTCAAATGTTGGTGTTTATAAGAAATGGCATTGTTCTGCAGTCAGCAGAACCCAACTGCAATCTAAATACAGGGAGAATAAGAGCCCATTTATGTGAATACACACAGCAGCTACATGACTGTGGACAAGTTTGCCAGGTTCTATATTCCTCTTCCATGCATAAGAGACTCTGTAAGGCCTTCTGCTCTCTCCAATAGCCCAGCCATTTCAGCAGTAGCATTCTCTTACCTTTGTCATAGAGGATATAGTGATGCTTTTCTTCTTCAAGTTATCCATTTACTGGCTCAATTTTCTCAATCGCTATTGTTTTAGTTGGCCAAGATGTCTTTGGAAATTTCCTAAAGTCTGAGTTCAGTGAAGAGAATATTGAATTCTGGTTGGCCTGTGAAGACTATAAGAAAACAGAAACTGGTCTATTGTACTTCAAGGCAGAAAAGATATACAAAGCATTTGTACATTCAGATGCTGTGAAACAAGTGAGTATTAAAGTCATTGTCATTACGCAGCTACAGGTATAAAATAAGATACAGAGATGGCATTCAATGCAGAGGCTAAGGTGAAATTCTTTCCGAGCACTGCGGCTCTGCATCTACATTGGTATGTGTATTCATATATTTCAGTGTGGTGATATTTCCTATGTTTGTGAAGGTATCAGTGCAGAGAATAAAAAGATTGATTTTGCAAAACTTTCTAACATGATGGGGATGGGGGAGGAAATACGGAATCAACGGCCAGATCTGTGTGTTAAGGAATCCTTCATGAGCTACAGTATCTCAGATAAGAATAAAATACAGATTGCTGTGATACATACACTTGTAGCAGCAAAATCATGTCCATTTGCTTAGCAGTGCTCACCTTCCTTCTGGAAAAATTCTCTCACCCAGTAAAACTTAATTATCCCTGCCAATTCTTCTTTGGTATATGTGCCGCCTTCTGTGACTATTTACATTTTTCATGTCTCCCTTTTTCTTGCTCTCAACTACGCTGTAAGCAAATGCATTAAACGTATTTTTGTTGTATTTCTTTTTTTTTTTTAATCTCTTCCACACCTAGTATGGGGCTGGTTTAGCACAGAGGTTCAAGAGATTTTTGAACTGATTTAAGTGGGGATGTAAAACCATTTCCTTGAGGTCCTTCAAAAACACTAGTATCATAATAAAATTTATCATAAATATGAAGTGTATGTTAATTTACAAATATTTCTTTTCAGATCAACATTGACTATCGTACTCGAGAATCTACAGCCAAAAAGATTAAAACACCAACCCCCACTTCTTTTGATGAAGCCCAGAAAGTTATATATACACTTATGGAAAAGGACTCTTATCCCAGGTTCCTGAAATCAAATATTTACTTAAATCTTCTAAATGACCTTCAGGCTAATAGCTTAAAGTGAGTGGTTCCTGGCTAACAGGAATTAAAAGCTGGTATCAAGGACAGAAGGAATGCACCATTGAGACTACCGGGGTGGCAACTTAGCCTACTCTGGGTGACTCGACAGGCCCAGCGGAAGTACAAATGACTAAGAATGGATTAATGTGGAAGTCACCCAGGTGGAGATTGAAAAAGCATGAGCAAGGTGAACATGGAGAGTCAGATGGAAGGAGATACTGTGGTTCTGTCATAAATCACAGTGGGACTCTGTATTAGAATACTTATCAGAAATAGGAAAGTCAGCTCACTTTGGTACACAGAAACCGAACAATACACGAGACGTATTAGAACATGCTGCGAGCTTCAAGGGCAGCTGACATGTATGCTACATGTTGAATGGATTGTGTTGGACTGCTGAAATCTCCATGTGAACGGCTAGTGTGAAAGTATGTGTTTCAAATCACCATCGCTATTATTGACACAAAGGATTTTGGTTGTTTATTTAGATGTATTTGGCTTGGAGTTGAGGAAGAAAACCATATATTTAACTTAAGCTATTTCTTTTAAAACTAAGAAATATGAACATATTTATAAATTAAATTATCAAGGTGCCAATAATAAACGCAAGTTTTTATTAAAATATATAGAAAAAAATCTTGTATTTGATTGTTATTTTTGAATATGGCATTGTTTCTCTGATTTAAAAAAAAAAATGAAGTAGGGCCAGGCATGGTGGTATACCCCTTTAGTCCCAGTACTCATGAGGCAGGCAGATCTCTGTGAGATTGAGGCCAATTGTTCTACATAGTGAGTCCCAAGCCAGCAGGGGCTACAGGAAAACCCTGTCTCAAACAACAATAAACAAACAAACAAAATTGAAGCAAAGAGCTTGTACTTTCTGCCATCTATTCAATATCTAATGCTGTTTTCCAATTCATACTGTATTTATGTATTAAGTTGGACAAAATTTACCCATTTTCTCTTTACTATCACCATGCATAAAAATTAAACAAATATGATCTCATAAATTCAGTTTGATAAGAATTTGATGACGTCTTTAAAAGGGGAAGCAAACGTTACTTTCAGAAGTAACCCAACCAACAACTGACATTTTACTGCAACTTCGAGTTATATAAATCAGATATTTTCTCATGTAAGGTTCAAAACAATGCAGTGAAACCTGAAGCTCAGAAAGATTAAACTGGCAACTCCCAGAGTTAAATAATTCTCAAAATTACCCTGAATGTTAAGACACGCCCCTATCTCAGGGTCCCCATCCCAGATGACTGAATCAGAATCTCCAAGGGCTGTAGTACAGGGTTCTGTTTCAAAGGAAACCTCAAGTAATTTTTAGATGATTTGATAACCTGGGACTGCACACGCCAGGATTAAGGGGAAGTCACAATGTCAGGGATTGATCACAACTCTTCTGACTATATAATTTGTGCACTTTCTACTGTGTAACACTGCCACCCACTGACCAGAACCATTCCCCAAATCACTGACATCTACAATGGTCCCAAGTATCTCCTAAGTAGGAAAGTAAGCCCTCCGAAGGTTCACCTAAGAGGCCAGAAAAAAGTCATAAATAGGACAGTTATTCCCAAAGCCCATATAGATGTTATCTCCCCCATGTACCTGTGCTCCACATCTTACTCAAAGTCATCCACAGACCATAATGAACTATTGTATGTTTTCTCACTACAAGCTCTCCCAGGCATTGGGCAACAGCTATGTTAAGGAAAAACATGTATATCAGGTCTGAAAAGTACTGTCCTTGAGTTTCTATTGGACTGAGTCCAAATTATCTCTACATTAGGCTGTCTGTGTTCCATGCTATTGCAAGTTACAGATTAAGAACAGCTTAAGAAATTCAATTGAACACATCCTCAAGCATCTCTTTTCCTTTGCTCACCCACACCAGATTCTCATCATCTTTCTTCCATAAGTGTCCGGTGCTTGTCATATCACTTGCTCATTTCCCAATTCACAGAACTTGTTCTTCCTCTTTCCAGCATATTCTCTCTCATCCTCTAAACAGATACACACATCATCTGCTAAGGTATAGATTTGGACATATTGTTTCCTGTTGCATAAGATGAAGTTCAAAATTCCTCTGCAATTTAAAGCCATCCTAGTGTGACCCTCACAGAACAACTATGGTTATTTCTTCTGGTGTCTTTCCTACCTTGACATCAAATGGGATTGCTTATCCATTCTATTTTGTACATGTCTTGGAATGTACATGATTAAAAACTTACTGTCTCTAAGTCTTGGTTAATGCTTATCTGAAATAATTTTTCCTACCCTCTTTTCACAATCCATCAATTCTTCAAGGTCTAGATAGGATAACTTTTTCAAAAAGCCCGTCTCTGATACTATACACTGTGAGGCAGTTATCTTCAGTATCCAGTGGAGATGAACTGCAGTCCATATAAACACAGGGCACCCTGCTCCCATTTTAAGTGCTACTGTCACACGAAATAGAGTCCAGGCCCCCAAGACTATGAAGAGTGAGCAGTGCAGCAATCCAACCAACACAGGGGTCATAAGATGAATGTTGCTGGACTTTGTCTAAATACGTTGTCATGTTAAAGAGCTAGCCAGCCAATTTTGGACAGACGTCAAAACAAACATCTAACACACCTCTTCATTCTGGAGAAAAACACCATTCTGGCTGCATTCATTCAAGGTAATGTGAAATAGTAAAAAAGCAGGATACAGCCAGCTAAAGCATGCATTAAAGTGTGAGGGAGAGCTAATTTGGACTCGTTCCAATGCAAATTCAAAAGTGTATTTTTAAAACTGATTTACACATTGCTGTTTACTTTTCCTGTTGTTTCACATTGACATCTTTTTATTATGATGTGACTGTTTCATAAGACTGTACTCAGGAATATGTTTCATGCGTGTGACATCTATAACTTTAAAAAATTCTGGCAGGTCAGTCTAGGGGCCTCAGGTCAGAGTTGTACTGTGTTATGATACTAGGTTAGGAGTATTGAACAAAATTCATTTCTTTTATATTTATCAGACTTATTTTATATTGCTTCCTATATGCTTAGCCCCCAAAGCTAGAGATTTATGAAGATTAAAGTGTAGGTGGTGACATAGCCTGGGCTGTCTAACTAAAAAGTACAGAATTAGCCATTTAGCTCAAATAGGATAAATTAATGTTCAATTTTCTTTGTTTCTATAGGCAAAGTGGACTCTGTTATTAAAATAGCAATCTTTAATGGCCTATTGTTGAGAATAAACCATTGTAAAAACAGAATAAAACATTTTAATACTTTTTATTGAATTTTTGGGATTTTCATAATAATTTAAAGGTATTTAGCTTCCCCATCCACACCTCTCCTTATTGCCCCACACCCAATTTAATGTACTCTATTATATATGTATATATTTATATATTTTACATATTATATTATATTTTTATATATATTAAAAGCTATAAAGTCTAACTTGTGTCCCCAAGTGTCCTTCAGTGTGGGCCCTTCTATTGAAACCTGGTTAACCTACCCAGAGTCCCATACTTGAAAAGCACCGTCTCTGCACCTTCCAGCAGTTATCCACTGCCACAATTTCCTTAGGTGGACTGGGGTTTCTTTTACCTTTCCATGTGTCTATGCTGGGATTTTTTCTGGCTTGAGTTTGCATTAGACTGTGCATGCCATCACCATTGCTGTGAGTTTATGTCAGTAACCGACCAGATGCCTGGAAAACTCTATTTTTTGCATGGTTATTCACTGCCTCTGACTTCTACAATCTTTCTTTCACCTTTTAAGCAATGATCCCTGAGTCTTGGGAGGAGGAAGTTTGATTGAGGTGTCTTATTCAGGGATAAGCCCTCTGCAGCCTTTTGTTCTCTGCATGTTGGTCAGTTGTGGGTTTCTGTGTTAATCACCATCTCTTGCATATGGAAACTTCTCTGATGAGAGTTGAGAGCTGCATTAATCTATGGATATAACGATAAGTCATTAAGAGTCAGTTTAATAAGATACTTATTTAGTAGAAAACTAGTATTGGGTTCTCTTCTATGCCTGTGACCTGTACAGTCTCAGGTTCCAATGCCTGATATCAATGTCAGCTATGGTCTCCATCATAAGAAAAATTACACATACAATATCCCTACATGAGTCCATGTATACAGCTGAAGGCTACATAACAAGAAACAGTACTAGACAGGAGAAACCTTCCTTTGAGTTGTTGGTCAGGGTAGTCCAAGAGACTCCCAAAATTACACAGGCCATTGCCGCAGCCCTTGACTGCCTCCCAGAACTTGAAGATAAGACCATATTGCTGAAGACAGGACATACTTTGGACACAGGATTTGGAGCAATGGAGCTGGAAATGACCTGGAAGGCAGCTCCCCTGAAGGCCATTTGTGTTCCATCTTTAGAGGACTTTCTGTTTATCTCCTTGCCTCACTGGCTATTTTTCAGTGGCTCCTTCCCATGAATCTAAAAACAGGACCGAAAAAGTGGAAGTAGGCATGAGGAAAGGAAGAGGGAGAAACAGGAAGGAAAAGAGAGAAAAGAATTTGCTAAGCATCTTATGTGTTATTACCTTATATCTTCTTTGATAGCTTGAATATATTTTTACATTTTCAAATTATTAAGCAAAAAAATATTTACTATAGTTTAGAGTTGTTTATACATATTTAATTTTAGATTCCCATAGCTAGTGGTAGATTTAGCTAGGAATTCGAAAGAACACAAGTTTATAAACTTATGGAGACCATGCCTTGATTTGGGTTCTTGACACTCAGAGAAGACCTATGTAGCAAGCCAGATGACTGAGAAAAGGACTCAGGTCTCTCAGAGTGTGTTCTTCACTTACTTAAAAAGAAACTACATTTTGTAAGCTTCATTTTTAGTTGTTTTGTTTTCATTTAAAAGGACTATATCGGCTACGTTAGAAAGTTATAATCACATCTTCCATCTCTCCTTCAAAATTCACAAGCAGTGGCAGGTGTCTAGGATCTACCCTACTGAATATAACAATTGTATATATTGTAGGGCTTTTCCAAATGGTACCTTTATGGTACCCAAGAGAGGAGGCAATTTCTGTGTCTCAGATTAAAACAACAGCTATCTTTAAAAAGTTCTTTAAGTTTTCTTGGAGGAAAAATATTTAAGTTGATAGGATATGTGAATTGCAGAAGAGCCACAAGCCTCATTAGGGAAAGCCATAAATCCTTTAAAGTATCTAACTGACCTTAAATTGGCAGCCTGGCCCTACTCAAGCCTTATCAACTGGTCACTCCCTGGACTAAGAAAGAGACTGTTTGTGGAGCCCACGTGTCTCCTTTAGTGCCATAGATAACTCACCCACCTGTCTGAGAAAAGACCCCTCAAGGACACCAAACCCGGGCACTAATTCAACTCCCCACAAAGTGCAACTGTGTCTCACAACTTTCTTATAAAAACTCCTGGTTTCTTTTGTAGTTGTAGATGCTTGATCCTGTGGCAGCCTCTACCTCTCTCTGTATCTTCTTTGAAGGTCTATTCCATGCCTGTTGCAGGTCTGGCTCTAGTTTCTTGTCTCCTACTCCTCTGTCTTTCCTTTTATTCTCCAAAAATCTAACACAAATAAACATTGGATTTCTACATTCAA